CATATCCAGAACGGGCCGTTCCGATTTTGGAACGGGCCGTTCTGGACCCTTTCTGAAGTCTATAAATAGACAGCTTGGGCTCATTTCTCAGGACTCCAAAATTTCGTCCAGACTCCTTAGAGTACGAAATTTCTCTCTTTTTCTCTCTCCCCCTCTCTTTTGTATTTCTTGAGATTTTGTGAGGCATTGTAGTGTGAAAGGTTGCCACAAAGCACCTAAAATCTTCCTGTTTTGAAGATTTAATAGAGCTCATTCAAGAGGTATTTCAGTTAATATCTTTCTCCCTTTTTTATTTATTTCTTCTCTATAATAAATATTGTTATAATAAAAATAATCATGTAGACATTTTAGGATTAATTGTATAATTTAAATTTCAAGCATGTAAATAATTATCAATAAAAGGGGATTTAATATTTATAGTATTGTTGTTTATAATGTTAACTTCATCATAGGGTATCGATTAAGGGCGTTGTAGGGTTAATTTTTTATTTAAATAAAATATATAAAGAGTGAAGTGTTTCGAGTATAAAAGGTGTGAGATAAAAGAAAATATATCGATTATTCATTAGTTATTGGGTTTGGTGACTCAAAATTGACTTACCTATACTTAAATAAACCACATCTCTAGAAGTTTGGCTCAGTGTGTCCAAAATGCAAATAGAATATCGGACATTCTTTATTTATTTTTTGACTTCCTTTAATATTCCATTGCATTTTTTTACACATTTTATTTTTAAAAATATTAAAATAAATATTATTTCTTCATATTAAGATAAATATTAAGGATTGAAATTAGTGATTTCTTTATTTTATTAGAATTGCAATAATATTTTAAATCTTAAAGAGGTGAAATAATTTTTTTTTTTTTATGAAAATCGAAATTCAAATTCACTTATTTTATTAGAATTAAAAATAATTTGTTTTTTTTCTCAAAATTGTTTTTGAGATTTGAACAAAATTTACGTCTCAAAAGATGCAAATTTCTTTACCATCTCAATTCTCAACCCGTGAATACTTTTCCAATTATTTTATACATTATTTTAGGGTTTAGCGTAAAAACATATTTTATGTCTTCGTAGCTTGTTAATAATAAAAAATAATAAAAATAATTGAAGTTAAATATAAATAAACGGTTAATAATTGAAGAGCTTAAACGATTTTGAACAATTACAATAATTATTTATGAATAAGTTTAAAATATAAAATTATGAAATAAAAATAAGGATAAATATATTAACATGAAAGTGAACACCGCCTAAATTTATTAATAACTAGTAGGATATAAGAAGACTAGACTTTGAGCATATGTAATTGTATATGAGAGTAGTGATTTTTTTATATTTGTTATGAATAGAGTAATTTTTAAAATTATAAAGTGTTTGAAGAGATAAAAAGAGTTAATAAAAATGGAAATTAAAAAGTTTTTTTATAATATGTACAGAGCATTAACATCGAAAAAGACATTCCATGAAAACAATTGTGAAAAAAAAAAATGAGTAGTTAGTTTTTTGGTGTACATCTTTTTTTTTTTTTTTTGTGTGTGTGTATAGTAGTTAGTTTTAATAAAGTGAATAATAATTTTTTTTTCTTTGAATATAAAATAGAAGTATAAATTTCTTTTAAAAAAAAGTTAACATCAAATGAGTATATTTTTTTATATATATATATTGTTATTGATATCAAAATATAGATAAAAATAAATATAAAAAAAAATAACCGTATGCTTGATTATACTGCCTTTTGGACCCAACAAAGTGAACTTTAAAACCCATAATCTGCCATCTTTTCTGAAAACACTGTCCCAACCTTATCAAAGCTTTCACTTTACCTTTATCAATGTTATTTAATCTACATTTTTCGGCGTGCACGCGTGGGTTTATAAACTTTATATATTTGAACAAAGGACATAAACCATCATAAGAACAAAATTTTTAAATAGAAAAAGTAATCAACACTTGCAATAAACACATCACTAATCAAACTACGCAAAACGGCTTGTCATTGCATCATCAACAATTGCACATTTTTAATTGAGAGAAGGCTCCAGACAAAAGATAAGAAAGTCCCTAATCCAATTCAAAGTGAAAGAAGATCCATCACTACATCAAACTTTCCTTTGTGGTTAATACTAATTAACATTAATGAGTTTGGTTAATTAGTCATACACTAATGGTACGACTAGGATTGTTAATGGGTTGGTCTCTTATGCCAAGCAATTTCTTCTCCTTTATAGCTGGATCCTCCAACAGAAGAACCTTGTCCTTGTCTCTAACCCCAACCATGTGTAGATATTCACCATCATCTCTCTCTTTACCCTTGAAGAGAAGCCTTTGCTCTCGGGGCTCAAAACTTGTTACCAGTGACAGAATCATTTTCAATTCACCTGCAAATTATTAGTTGTGCAACACACACTTTGTCAAATATACCATCTTAGGGATTTTCTCAATTATGTGAAAAAAATATATTTGTGGGATAAATAACCATTGAGCAGCTTAGAGAGAAAATAAACATTTTAGTTCAATTTCTTAAAATTTGTATGAGTTTAACCTAAGTCAAAAGCTAACTCATAAAGTTATAGTCTCTCTAGTTTATATTAACTATTTTGGTCATATATCTAATTAATGTTAAATTTCTAATATACTCTTAACATACTAAGGACCAAAATTCAAAGAGGTGGTCCCATAAGAGTTCATAGGTCTAACAACAATCCCCAATATACTATGATGCCATCTTAAAATTTGCATTTAGATTCAATCAACTAAAAAAAACCTATGAAATAGAGTATATATCTTTATGTATTACTTATCTGATTAAATACAAGTTTAAGAAAACTTTTTGAGAATTACATTTGTACTTAAAATAAAAAAAAATTCATTATATTCAATATAAAAATTCTTAAAAATTAGACTCTATTTTGGTCAAAATACTCCTGAACATGTGTGATCATCATTCCAATTTTGTAACCAAAAGAACACATTCATCACAGAAAAGGGGTGTGGAAGACTAGACTTACCAAAAGTTGATGTGGCCTCAACAGAAATTTCATGGGAGTGTGACACAGTTGAAACCATAATTGTGATAATTCCCTCTCCTGTGCTTTGGTTGCTCTCCCTTTTTTGAACAAGCATGCCACCAGGCCTAAGTTCCCATTGGATTTCACCAATGTTTCTGCAACCCTTTTCAGTTGGCTGTTGTGTTGCTGTTGCTTTGTTCCCATTTCCAAGCTTGGAGCTGCTTCGGCTAAACCTCATTGACCTCAACTTAATCATCTTTTTTTTTCTTTCCCTTTGTTGTGTTCCTAGGAAGAGCTTAAGGTGAAGCCTAAGAGGAGTTTTGAAGCAGTTGGGGCAGTTATATAATACTTGAAAGCGTGCATAAGGACGAAGAAAAGCATGAGTAAAATATTGTGTTGCTGAAAAGCAAGAGTTGAGAGAAGGGAAAGCCAATGAGGTGGGAACACGTGGAGGACGATGGAGGCATTGTTTTTTCTGCTGATACTGTGGCACATGGGTGGTGGGTGCCTAAGAACACGCCTGATTGATTGGTGGGCCAGGATCAACAGATATGTACTTTTAAATTGAAAGGGAAATTTTTTTGTTAAGGAAAATGATAGTTCTAAGATTTGGGATTCCTCTAAATTATTATCAACTTTTGATAGATAAAAAGAAGCTTAAAATTCTTATTTGGTCTCTTATAATATTTTTTTGTTTCAATTTAGTTTCATTTTAATTTTTTGTTTTAATTTGATCCTCAATAATTTAAATTATTGTAATTTGGTACTTCCGTCTAAATGATTTAAACGGAATTAATTGTTGGCCATATAGATGTCAGGTGGATGCCACGTAGATATCACGTAGATGGATGCCAAATTTCTTAAATACACCTGGAACCAAAACGGCCTGTTCTGAAACCAGAACGGCCCGTTCTGGTTGCATTCTTGGTGTGTAAATTTTGTACCTGGAACGGACCATTCTAGATGCAAAATTTACACACTAATAGTGTAACCAGAACAGGTCGTTCTGGTTTTGTGAATCGTGCAAGGAAAAAGACCTCAGGTACAAAACATTTCAAACACTAAATTTAGTAATATTGTCAATGGGGATTGATAACTTCAATTGCTAAACATTTGGGCTATACAATGTATTATTAAGGACGATGAAGTGTATCACTAAGGACAATGGTAGCAGGTTTTATTTCATTGTTAGTCAAGTTGGAGTGAACCACTTACTACTAAATTGATACTATACAGCCAAGGATGAAACGAAACGATGTTTCCCCTTGAAGTTACTAACGATGTACCCCAACAATAACAACCTGTTTTTGAGGAGGTACAACCTGAATTTTTGTGGTTTAGGGTCTCCCTTCAGCGTTACCCAAATGATTTCCTTTCTCAGTAATTTCTTTGAACTTTTTTAGTATATGTTATGTTCTGAATTTTTGTTTTCAATTTCTGAACCATGTTTCTGTCTTTGAATTTATGATATGTTATAAATTTTTATTTTCAATTTTTGAATCATATTGCAGAATTTTGGTCAACACATGCATGAAGTTGGCGTTCTGGAACGGGCCGTTCTGAATCCAGAACGACCCTTTCTAACACTAGAACGGCCCGTTCTGATGCACTCATGGTGTGTTAAATTTACATTTGGAACGACCCGTTCCAGTTGCAAAATTAACACATAACATGTGCAAGCAGAACGGGTCGTTCTGGTTCCAGGTGTATTCATGAAATTTGGCGTCCCCCTATGCATCTACGTGGCATCCACCTGACATCCACGTGGCTAACAGTTAACTCCGTTTAAATCATTTGGACAGAAGTCCTAAATTGTAATAATTTAAATTATTGGGGACCAAATTGAAATCAAAAATTAAAGTGGGACTAAATTAAAATAAAAAAATATTATAAGGGACCAAATAAAGGTTTTAACCAAAAAAGAAAGAAAGAAAAAACTCAGTCAGTTACCTGAAAAAATATAATAAATTATGAATTTATATCTCTAACTTTTAAAGATAATTGATAATAATACTTATTTTCCTTATTAAAATAAATTACCTGTTTTAAAATAGGTAAATCTAACATGTTATTATTATATAACTTTTTTTTTAATCGAGTACTTTATGGTATTTGTTAAAAGTTAATGATTGAAAATATTAAATAATAACAAATTTCTTTAATGTAATGAATATTATAATTTTTTTAAATACTTATTAATTAATTTACTTCATTTAATATATCCTTAAAATATATTTCTCTGTATACAAATTGAGATAACTATTTTGAAGAAGAATACTTTGAGGAACTATTATTCAATAAGAGTATTTGTTTTTTAAAAAAAAAATTACGAGAATATTTTTAGGGAAAAAAAATTAAATTGTCATCTCTTTATAATTGTTTTTATTTTTTAATTTTACATAAAATTTTAATATTTTTAAAAATATGAATGATTAAAAATAATCTTCTATGTTATAATTTATATTATTTATTATAAATTTTAATTTATCAAATAAATATTACATATTTATTTTGTGTTACATACATACTAAACTACAAGTTTGCTTTTGGGAGAAAGGTTGAGGTAGTTTTTGATCATAAAATGGTAGCTAGGTAGTGAATGATACTCTCATGTCTAGTACTATCAGATATGAAAACAATGGCATGCGGGAGATTCTCAACCAAGCACCACTGTTAGTGGTTAAAAATATGGTGTAACATCCCATTTTTTAAAATAAATAATAAATAAATTAGAATAATTAGATATAAAAGAATAATATCTTATTAATAAAATAAAAAGGGAGAGAGAGCTTATCATAAGTTTTTAGGTAGACTCTAGGCTTAACTTGAAGGCTAATTCAAATAGGAGAGGTTAGAAAGGGTTGGGTCATTTTGCATGTATCCTGAAACCCTAAGAATTCATAGAAGGAGAAACAAAAGAGGTCGTGGGGGAAAAACGTGAATTGACGGTAGAGGCTATTAGAGGAACATTACTTCTCGAGAATCATCACTCCAGGTAAGGGATGAGAATTATCAAGTCCTAAGTATGTATGAGGGATAGGGGTAGACAGACTAATCTTAAGCCTCTTAAGTTATTTGTTTAGGGGGTTTCTTAAGTATGAAATTGATTGAAATTATATTATTGTTGTGTGTTATGACTCGTAATTGGTTTGGATTGATTACATTGATATTGAGATTGTGTGTTTTAAGGGTTAGGGTTATTATGTATGAATTTTGGTGTTTTTGAGTGTATGATTTAAAGATTTAGTGTGATTTGTTTGATTATAAAAATTTTGGTACAAACACATCTTGGTATTTAGATGAATGTTCTCTGTGAGATTAGCCAACTAAGGTTTTGTTTGATAGGTTGGAAAGTAGACATTTGGAGATACATCTTAGACACAAGAAATATATAAAAATGTTAAGAAACGAGTGAGTTATGTGAGTCACAAGATGAGTCTCATGTTTGCTGTGCAAAATATAATGTATGACACTTATAAGCATTACTAGAGCCCTTAGATGGTCGAATTAGGTTTCATGTTACTGATAAGAGTTGTAGGCTAGGATCTTAGCTTTTCAATGACACTAGAATCACCCAAAAAAGAAAGTCTAGAACTTAATTTATGATCAAATTAGTGAGAAAATATCAAGCTGTCAAAGTTAGGCTTAAATACTCCAATTTTGTAGTTTTTAAAAAATAATAGATGACAAAATTTTTTATGTCAACATAAAAGTCATAAACAATAATCTTAACTTTATAATAAAATTAATATCAACCTAATAGCATAGATACATTTATAGATAACATGCTTAAACCATATGAAATTATAGAAACTTAAGATAAGAATAAAAAAGTTGAGTTATATTGGTGAACTATTTTATATTGGTTTAGATCAATTAAATTAATATTGAGATTGTGTGTTTTGAGGGCTAGGATTGTTATGTATGAATTTTGGGGGTTTTGAGTGTATGATTTATAGATTAGGTTTGATTTGTTTGATTCTAAAAATTCTAGTACAAACACATCTCGATATTTAGATGAATGATCTATATGAGATTAACCAAATAAGGTTTTATTTTATAGGTTGGAAAGTAAACATTTGTGACTACAATTTAGAACAAGAATTACATAAAAATGTTAAGAAACGAGTGAATTATGTGAGTCACAAGATGATTCTCACATTCTGTGCACGAAACATAATGTCTGACACTTATAAGCATTCCGAAAGCCCTTAGATGGAAGAATTAGGTTTCATGTTATTTTTAAGAGTTATAGGATAGGATGTTAGCTTTTCAATGGCGCTAGAATCACAAAAATAAAAAAAAAAAAGGTTTAGAACTCAAGTTATGATCAAATTAGTTAGAAAAGGTCAAGTTGTTGGATTTAAGCTTAAACACTCTAGTTTTGTAATTTTTAAAAATAATAGATGATAAAATCAACTCTTAAGGTCAACATAAAAGTTGCATATAATTATCTTAGCTTTATAATAATATTAATATCAACTTTATTGCATAGGTACATCTTTAGATAACATGCTTAGACCGTATGACATTATAGAAACTTAAGATAAGAATAAATAATTTCTTAGTTATATTGGTGAGTTGTTTTATTCCTTAAGTTCCTATATGTTACATGATTAATGATAATGTATAATATTATGGTGTTTGATGATGATTATGATGATGATGATAGGAGATTGGTACCATGGCCAACTGTAACACTTTGATAGGATCCTAATACACATCCCTTAGTAAAGTGTTTTGGGGGGATCATTGTTGCAGAATGGTCCCTACACTATTATATAGGGTGGTATCATTCCATTACTCCTAGACTATGTTGTACACTTGATGATGAGGAGGAGATTGGTACCACATGTATGTAGAGTTAGGAGCATTATCTCATGAGTCTTAATTGATGAATATGATGTTTTTGTGATTGATGGAATGATGGTGATAAATGCAATGTACTATGTTAATTAATATTGTATGGGGGAATTGATGAAAGTGTGTCTTTATGATGTAATTTTTGTATGAATTGTATGTGTGCATGGTTATTTTTATGCTTCATATATGTTGTGATGAATGAGATGTATTCTCACTCCCCGTGTTTATATTGTTTGTATTTGGGTTGAATGCCATTTGTAGGTGTAAAACATGTACAAGATGATGAGTTTGAAGATGGAGAACCATAAAGAGGGGTTTTGCTTTGATAGTGTGACATTGGGATTGATCTTTTGGATAAATGATTATTTTAAGTTATATTTCTTTTTATGTTTATTTTATTGTCATAACTTTTTTTATTTAAAAGGTTATTCTTAATTTTGATTAAATAATTTTTAATAAGTTTTATACGGTTTAAGTAATGGTTATGAAT